TACCCCCTGGGAAAAAGTCCCCGGTACCCATTGCACTGGACGCTGGGTGAACCCCAGAGCCGTTGTGGATGACGTGAAGTGAAAATTCTTGATCCTACCGGGACTTGAACTCCGACCCCTCAGTCGTCCAGCTCGTCAGTCGCTATATCGACTGAGCTATCCCGGCTCTAGACAACTGTAACTGTACTTAGCCACACATAGGCCGCACCATAGCTCAAGCGGTTAGTCGCTGGCTTTCCACGGCAGCGGTCCGGGTTCGATCCCGGGTCTGGTCAAGTGGGATTTGTGGTGGACAAAGTGGCGTTGGGGCGGGTTTTCTCCGAGTACTTCGGTTTCCCCTGCCAATCTTCATTCCACACATTGCTTCACAATCACCCTCACCTATCATCTGTGGCTGGTACAATAGGTCAGAAGTGGCCGCAGTACAAGGGACTTAGTCCCACCCCACTAGCAATAATAATAGCCACACATAAAGGGATATACTGCATATCCATCACTGTTTCTTCGTTTGGCAACCGTTCAGTACAACGGTTCTCACATATTCTGTACTTCATACCCTGAAACAGTTAAACAAATATGTAAGATTTGAGGCTTTCACGGCGGTGACTATGAAGAAAGCAGTCTTCTGGGATTTGGCACCGTGTATATGTGGTGTTAACCGACGTTTCGGAGGAACGTATCGCCCCCATCTTCAGGGTAGAAGAAAAAGTATAAGAAATCTGCAAGCGACAACACCGTGAGAAACGGTAAAGCAGACTGTCTGCTTTACCGTTTCTCACGGTGTTGTCGCTTGCAGATTTCTTATACTTTTTCTTCTACCCTGAAGATGGGGGCGATACGTTCCTCCGAAACGTCGGTTAACACCACATATACACGGTGCCAAATCCCAGAAGACTGCTTTCTTCAGTTAAACAAATATCTACACAACCTCCCGCCCCTTAACACGAGTAAGAACTTTGCTTGTAATGCAGGCTAAACAGCACATTATCATTATACCTGCTACATGTACAAGATTCCAAAGGGCAGCGGTTAGTAACGGGAATGCTGAAGAGTACCTTACGGTATCTCAGTAAGCCCTCTTGGTACCCCTTGGGGTATCGGCACCGCAGTTTAAGAACCGCTAGTTTAATGCACGATGTAAGCACTGCGACCCCGCAGTGTACGAACATAGAAAACATGACTGATATAACATCCTTTCAGGCCTTCGACGCTTTTTTATTAAGGGCATTATGCATATTCATAAAATCGTCACAATAAATATACACTTACTTTACTTCGTACAATTTATTCTAAGAAAAAGAAACACGAAGAGCGGGCTCGTTTGCTAGTTCGCATATAAATTGTGTTTTAAGCGCCGAAAAAAAAACGATTAAAAGTAACGTGTTTAGAGCAATTGCATACCACACAACATTACACAGCTCACTAAAATACGTTAAGTTTCATTCAAAATAAATATTCCCCTTAACTGAAACTGAAAAATGTTTTAATACATGTTAAACGATCCTTGATATCTTCAGAATCTCCCAAAAATAATTATATTGGCTTTAAGCCATAGGCCCTGTAGTATATCGTTTGCAGTGGACCACAGCAGAGAGAGAGAGAGAGAGAGAGAGAGGCTGGTTACTGGCAGAAGCGCAACTTCCAAAAAGCAAACACAACTCCATTAATTGAGATACGAAACGCGGCAATGTGGTAGCTAAATTACACACACGACTTTAGATGCCTCCTACCTGTTATGCGTGTTATGGAGAAACTAGGCTCTGTATTACAACTAGAAATAAAAAGAAGAAGAAAAGAGGGTTTGACTGTTATGCCTTGCCTTACCGCCTGGTCTTTTCCATCACCATAGACCCCCAAATTATTTTCTCTCTTATGTAAACTCCTCTTACCTTACACACACACATCAGTACTGTATTTTGACTGGTGGTGGCTAAAACGGCATTTTATATGTAAAGCGGGAGAGAACGTTTATGTATCCCCGTATATAACATTACAAGACAACTAATAGCGAAACGAAATTGTTGAAACAGCGTCCCTGCAACACAGTGTGCGTGTACTGGAGTGGGCGGTAAGTACAACATTGTTATCGTCTGAAAGTACCTTGCATCTCGTTCGTGTGATGTTGACTTAAATGCTGGGGTGAGTATCCGGGGCTTTAGAAGGCTTTTGAAGCAGCCATTCGTACTGCGCCAGAGGGCTTTAGATTGGAGAAAATGAGAGAGAGAAGATGGTATATAAAAATGACCCGGTATTGTCAGCGTTAACTTTTTGAATGCTCATTTCCCCTAAAATTGGAATTTTGTATATGAAAAGCATTAATATTGTGTGTTCTTATTTGACAAACAGAATTCCGGAGTAGTGTATGTTTGTGAAACTTAGTAAGTGTTTTAGTGAAAATAACATTTTGGTGATCGGACAAGCGCAGGGCATTGGAGCCTTGCCCGAACTTTTTCTGGAGTACATTTTACCTCTCTTCCTCCTAGGCGGCGTTCAGAGTTTAGATCTTCCATTCAGACTGCACTTCATCATATGTCGCAGTGTTCTTCTTTCGTTACTTTGAAAAGTTCAATCCACATCTCGCCATATTCTCCTAATTCTCCTATTCTCCTAATGAAAGTTAAAAAATTGTTGTGAGATTCTTTTATGTTAACTTTGTGCAGCCCCTTACGGATATTACAAATTTAAAATCAGTAGACTGTATTGTGTCTTTGTCTATTTTACATGTTAAGCATGCCGTATATGGACCGCCTCTGTGGTCTAGTGGTCAGAGTTCCTGCCTGCAGATCCAGATGTCCCGGGTTCGATTTCCGGTCTGGCAAGGGCTTTGCTCAGCCTTGTGTGGATAATTAAGGAGCTGTTTCAAGGAAATAGCGGCTGCGGTGTAGAAAACCGAAATTAACGGCCGTGGGGATTCGTTGCGCTGACCACGTGACACCCTCTATCCGCTAAAGTTGGCACTTACTTCGCCGACAAGCTGCGGTCGCTCGGTCGGTATAGTTTGCTTGAGGATTACAGGCCACGGAGTTCGTTTGTTTGTTAAGCATGCCATATGTTTCGCTTCGTGATCTGCAATAGTGTAACAGAATCACGGAAAACGGTTTACTTTGGGTTCCGTCTTTGCTGTCAGTTCTAACAATGGGATATATTCATCTATTTAATGTGATTTCTATTCGTTATAAGCTTTCGGATGAGAAAAACTAATTGCAGCTTCAATTAAAGCATGCCTCTTTATTAGTCTTCAGTTATTCGAAGACATTCAGTAATCATTTCCGGTATCAGTAAAAAGAAATCTTGAATAATCCTATTGCATATTAATTCTTGCTTTATGATCGGCGTAGAGCCAATTAAAATACACGTTTCTCTTCTCATTATTTTAATATTTATGCTAGTGAGTGTTGGGGGCAGGAAGCAATGGAATTATTGAGAAAACTGCATAATGTGATCAAGCCAAGGAGGGTGAAACAGGCGGAACATGTATCACGTACAGAGACGCGAAATGCATACAACATTTTGGTCGGAATACTGAAAGAAAACTACTGTTTTGAACACTTTGACGTAGATGGGAGGATAATGTGGAAGGGTAAAGTAAAAAAAAAGTAAGTAAAGCTATCCCTGTGACAGGCCGTGGAGGCCCGTAGGATTGTGAGGCGTCGAGGGTCACACATTTTCTAGACAATCGGCTCACAGATGGCGGTAAGATTGTCAGCCTTACGCGCCGGCCGCCCTTTACCCCCAAAAATATTCCAACAATATTCCTGGCACTCATTTCTGTTAGAGGCTGAGTCGACCCCAGAGCCATAGTGCGGCTGGAAGGATTAGGTAAATCGAAAAAAATCCACCTCATCGGGATTCGATCCCGCGACCTTCCTATCTGTAGCATAGTGCCTCAACCAACTACCGCGTACGGTAAGGAAATATGGTGTGAGATGTGGGCTAGGAAGGTTTCAGTGTGAACACGGTAGCAGCTTCCAAGTTTTAGAAAAGGAAGAGAGTTTCTTGACTAGCTGAGTGACTATAAGCTTCCCAGGAAGAGTTCTTCTCTATAGAGTTATTAATTCTTTGGTAGATGAGCTTGATTCTAATCTACTAAACAGAACTGTTTCGACCCCAAGATTTAATCTTAGTTTCAAGAACTCAGCTCCTGATACCCTAAACGCACTGTACTTTTCGTCTGATTCGAAAGAAAGTATTACTTATTTAATAAATTGATCGGGCAAGCATATTGATAGCATAAGCATAGTTCCAGATAGTCGACAAAATTTTAATCGATTGACCGCCCTTAATTACGAATACATTAACATACGTTACTCAGGAGAATAGCTCTGATTTAGCCAGGTGCTGGCCACTAGTTGCAGGAAACATAAAAATTTCGACAAAATATCCGACAACACCAAATTTAACTTATGCAATTGAGATAATTAATTGTAATTAATAATTCGCTTCCTTATACCAGTCAAGGGCAGAATTGTTTTCCTGGACAACGGACGCTATATTTGAAACTAGTGTGTCGGTCTTATTTTTTTCAGTAATGAATTTATGAGGCCAGGGTATCAGGGAATGTTTTGAGAAAGATTCTTTCAGCATACCTCTAGTGATGCTGAAGAAAAACACAACAGATCTAAAAAAGAAATTGGTTCAAAATATTATCTCTGTCTTGTGTCCTGTACATAAATTGCTGTCTTTTCTTGTCGGGCTTCAAGTCTAAGTCATAACGAGACTAACGCCAAAGGTCAAACGTGATGCAATAGTCCTGACACTCTTACTGGTCCTCTCTCTATAATAAGAGTAAAATGAGTGAGAAATAATTTATACTTTATAAAGGTTTAAGATACCAACGCTACTCTATAAGGCTCAATGTCTACCCGAATATTCTAAATATTATGAAGGTTATAATCTACCAAGGCTTGTTCATAATTCACAGCCCTGTTTCAGAGACTGTTGTTATTATAGCGTTACCAAATGGGACAAGAATATGCAATAATTTTTGTTTCTTTTTTCAGGAGAAAATGTGAAATTCGCGGCGACGCAGATGGCAAAGAGCCTAAGGATCTGACGTCATCAAGAGCCATGTTTCCGAGCACTCAGATAAAAATGAGGTAAGAGCAATTATTGCAGTGGAAGTTAATGTACATTGGGACTTGCGCATTTATATGTATGCCTCCTCTGCAGTAGCTGTAGAAAGTGAAGGCATGATAAGGAGAGTAATGTCCGTCGGCTTACGTGTTTCATCTCCGAAACTACTCAGCATATATCAATACTTGAACTACCGGAGGCCCACAGCAGATATTCCTAGCGAATTTGACGTTGGTTCGCATGGGTTCACGGTACTTCTGTTTTCTATAGAGCTCAAATTAAATGTTCGTATCACTCAGTTAATATTACATACCATTTGATAACTTATTCAGATCTACGGTCTTCCTGGAAGGTAAAGGACGGCCGGCGCGTAAGGGTGACAAACTTACCGCCAGCTGTGAGCCGATTGTCTAGATAATGTGGGCCTCCATGGTCTGTTACAGGGATAGCTTTTACAGATTTATCTGAAATAATTTTCGCTAAGCGACATGTTTGGCGAAGTATAAAAGAAAATAATTTATGATTCGACGCAGCGTATGATTAACATTTTCGCAATATATTTGTATCTCCATTAAATTAATATCACCAACTGGATATTCAGAACCGTGTAAAATACATAATTATATACATAATAGGATACGGTTTATGATTGTTAGTGTACTTCTTATGGCTTGTTTTGGACTTCATCCATCGTCTGGTATGTAAAAGACAAAAGATCATGACGTTTCGGAGTCCAGTGATTGAGACCAGCTCTTTCTAACGGGCCCAACTGAATAGGTTCATCCTTCCATACCCACCTGAAAACGGAGACAGATCCAGTCTCCGAAGCGTCGTGGTCTTTTGTCTTTTACATACCAGACGATGGATGAAGTCCAAAAGAAGTACAGTATACACCATCGTCAGAATCCTTTCAAGTCGATTGTCAGTGTGCATGTCACCCTCGTGTGATTTCTGTAGAAAGATTTAGTTTTCACATAAGCACACAAGTGGGAGCTCTGTGTCCCAAACTCTGCAGTCAGAAGGATAAGGATGTAAAAGGCAAAGTTGTCCCTGTGCTTAACTAATTAAGCACTAAGCCATGAAGGCATATGGGGAGTGGATGTATAGATCCACATATTCTTGACCTCGACACTAGCTGGAGGTGACTGGTCAGCTTCACGCCCCAGCTGCTTTACCCCCGGAAAAGAGACCCCAGAACCGCTCTGGACGACGTGGAGAAGAGAAAATTATTGACCCTAAAGAGACTCGAACTCCGACCCATCGGTCGTCTAGCCCGTAGCTAGTCGCTATACCGACTGAGCTCTCCCGGCTCTTAAATCTTAGGCGACTGGAACTTACTGGTTCACTCTGTACAGTGCAGGGCAAATATCTGGAGCCACTGAATCGTTTGTACGAGTATTTGTATCATATGATTCTGTCCATACGAATTCCTAGGAATAGAACGGATGTATCTCGGGGAACGACTCCCATAGGCCATAACAAATGTCCGTCCACTTTACGAACCCGGGGATGCGTCGTGCCTGCTGTAGGCAGCCATACGGAAGAGGATCCCTGTTTGAATTTCTCTCCGGGATATAAATGACAGAAGTACGTGGAAAATAGGATATAGCAACATTGTGATGACGCAACAGTCTGCGTCACTAACTGATGAACACGCGCCCTCGTTGTTAATTATCATGTGAATGCAAATAGACGTACTGAATTCTAACGGCAAAGCAGTTTCATTCCTTGCGACGAAGGAACGCGATTGAACTGAATTGCAGTGAATTCCAGCGGATGTCTGATACTTCTTTATATCTTATAATGTTAGTCTGTTAGTTTTTTTAGTTAGGCTACTTAATTTTTTTGCTATATTAATGTATTCAGTAACGTATTTAGCCACTAAGTATTTTAAAGCCATATATTTGCCTAAATCGCTTCACGTATTGCATTCACAGTTAACCATTTCATGTCATATCTACACAGCCCACAAATCTAAACCTTCGGGTTTCGTTGGACATTCAGAAGGAAATTAATATTCCGAAGCCCTGTGTACTCCTTGTAGTACAAAATTATAAATAAATGTCGTTTTGGGGCGTGCCACAATTTGTAAAATTCGATAAAAGTAAAGTAAAGGTATCCCTGTAACAGACCGTGGAGGCCCATAGGGTTGTAAGATGCTGAGGTTCCCACATTTTCTAGACAGTCGGCTCACAGATGGCGGTGAGGTTGTCAGCCTTACGCTCCGGCCGCCGTTTACTCCCTCCCCCACGAAGATTCCTAGTACTCATTTCTGTTAGAGGCTGAGTCGACCCCAGGGCCATAGTGCGCCTGGAAGGATTAGGTAAATTAAAAAATCCAATGACCTCATCGGGATTCGATCCCGCGACCTTACGGCTTGTAGCATAGTGCCTCAACCAACTACGCCGCCACATGCCCCGTAAAATTCGGTAGTGCTATAAAAATCTGTGGCCTTAATTGAGCCAGAGAACTCATTTTGGGACGGTAATAAAATTGATTTCCAAGAAAGTATCAAATGCTTATGTTTAACATTCAACTTCACCTTTCGTCTTAAACTACTCAAAATATGTGTACTCACCCCCAGCGTGTTCTCATAACCACACAGATTCACGGCGGAACATCACGAGATTTTTTTTTAATTCTTATATAGGGATAAATCCCTGGACAGGGGCCTCGTGGGAACACCATATTATTCCTGTTGTAACTACTCGTGGTGATGAAGTGCGTACATTGGCAGTGGGCCACAGCGCTGTGTCTGCCCTGACAGCTTTCTCATTAGGTTCCGAACAAGATATTCTAGCGGACGTAATGTTCGGGAGGTGCTCTGCTCGAGTCTCGCCACGGACACTGACTGTCTTGAGAGTGTTTCATGGTTTTCCTCCGTCCTTCCAGACAGATACTGGCGTAGGACCTTGATTAGGCAACGACCGCTTTCTTCCAGTTCATCTCATCAGTCATTGTGTCGTTCCACTCTGTAGTGTCCAGATACCCCCCCCCCCCCCACTATCNGATCTTACACATTCGGTAGGACTCCTTGGGCGAGTGATCAGCTCGTCGCAAGGTCTCTACCTGTAGCCAAACACAGAAAAACGCACACAAACATCCATGCCCTGAGTGGGATTCGAACCTACGATCCCGGCTTCCGAGCGAGCGAAGACAGTGCACGCCTTAGACCGCTCGGCTACCGTGACCGGCAGATGAATATGATTAGTCTGCCGAAATTTTGGAATATGGCACTGGAAATTTCTTTGATATTTTCTCACTAGCCGATTAGCTAGCCTACCCGAGCTCGGGGAACAAAATTTCGTAACATAATTTTTTACTTTCTGTACCGAAGCTGTCCGAGCTGTAACACTTCTTTCCAAACGGTACGTTCTAACCGAAATAATTACTTATACACGTACAGTTGATTAAAAGTATAAAAATTTTGCTTTTATGCCTCACTTTTCCATCATTCGGTTTAATTTTAATTTAAGTTCATCAGCTGTTCAGTAGAATGTTTGGTAAGTTACACGTTTGTTGTCAGACGTAGAATTCAGGAGACGGACAGATACTAGAATTCGTAAGCAGTCAACTTGTGCCTCGTCTTTTGCCCCCACTGGTTGCTAATCTGGTTGCAGGTTGCTCTCCCCGAGCAGTTCGCCCGCCACATCGCCTACCATGTCTAACTCCTCGTCACCGACGCCTCCCGCCCTCAACTACAACCACAAAATTACGGGGATTCCCTGCGTCGCGGCGGCGTCTCGCTACACGGCGCCCGTTCACATCGATGTTGGTGGCACCATCTACACGTCGTCACTCGAGACACTAACAAAGTGAGTAAATGTTTACACATGCCTGAGCTTTATCGTATCCGATCCTTGTCCTTTCAGGGCTCCCAATTTTCTCTCGTAAGGTTACGTCGGCCGAGGCTCACAGCACTAAGAGTTTGCCTGACAGTACAAATGAACAGAGCAAGATCGTGACTAATGATATTGTCTGTTAACAAAGTAGACGTTTAATCGCAATATTCATTTTGTGTTAATTATTTTAACGGTAATTATGCTTTTAATAATAATATTGTGATATATAGAACTACTGCTAGGCAACGACTCGGTAAACACATGCCGTGGAAGGGTACTAACGCAACAATATGATATCCATTACTAGGCGACGGATCAGTAAACAAGCCTTCTCAACAGTAGAGAGGCTACGTGATCCGTGCCAAGGGGTTGGAAAGGACAAAAGAAGGTCCTTTGAGTGAGTTGTTATAGAAAACTGGGTCAGGTTCTGGAGATGGCAGTCAAAGGTGATTAAGAAGAAATGGCAAGAAATTAATCAGACTCTGCGAAGGAAACTTCATGTGTGATTTGAAGTGACAGACTTATAGATCCGTTGCCAGGATACGACTAGTGAAGACTAAGAACCTTAGTGTGTGTGCGTGTAACGGTGAACTCTAATGTGTGTAGATCGGCAATAGTGCTTTATTGCCTGTAGTCACGAGTTGTCTGAATATAGTGTCAATAAATTCAATCATCCAATCCAAAATCAGTCCTGTAAGTCACATCTACACATGACAATATAATGACGACAGCACTAGATGTGTATATAAACTTACAGTTACGCAACTTTTCTCCGCCTTATGAAGTCATTAGGTGCTTTCGTTACGTACTAATTCTGTAGAGCGTGCTCTCCTTAAAAGAAACTGGGAATCGCTCAATTGGTCAGGAAATTCTCTGCTCCATAGAAACCGAAGGTCGACTATTGTGTTCATAGGGATGCGCAACCAGACGCTATCTGGAGCCAGCTGTATTCACTCCACACCCTCTTGCACTATTCCTCTTTTAATATTATTTTCCCAATTGCGCTTAGACTTCCTAACGTTTCCTGACCAAACCTGTAGCTGCACTTCACGTATGCCCCAGCCATGCTACATGCCCTACCCATTTCATCCTCCTTTGTTTGACTATTCTGATAACGTGTGGTGAAAGTACAGAGTCACTGTAATCTTTTATAAATTATTTGCACAGACAGTTGTTAAGGACATTTTACTGGGCTGCCATCTGTTTGTCGTTCAACACAAGAGTCCTTTCAATTCTATAGAACCTTACATGTTTTCTGCTCTTACTTATCCGAGAGGCATTTGCAGCCCAGCGTAACCTTCACGATTTAACCGCGCTTAGGACACGGTTCTAGAAGAACTGCACGGATTAAATCCCTCGCCATACACTCCCCTCCCCTCTTGTTTTAAGTCCTCATTACTTCTGTCACGATGTCTACCAGTTTCCTTCAACCAAGCTCATGTTTCTATCTGTTTTAATACCTAATGATTTGGGAAAAGTCCTTTAGGTAATATTTTGTAAAGATAATACCATCATGCTTTGCGAATACAAAAGTAGTGACTGTACTGAATCAAGACGTTTGTCTTCTAGGTTATGATACCATGGAGTTTCGCAGGTGATAACCAACGTTTCGGAAGTCCCTACTGCCTTCTCCATAAGTGACTTTTTTCTCTGTAGATAGCAGCATAAATCTCTTTGGAAACATTGGTAATCAGTAATCACAACTGAAAGTACAAGGTGACCTACCCCAGCAGACTGCAATCTTATTTGTCGCCGCCGTTAAGACCAGTCCACGTTCTCACGCCCTATGTGTAAGATCAGAAATTATTACCCATAATGGAATCAGAGAGTTCATTACCGTAACCACACAATCCCCTCATCGTGCCTCGCTTTGAGCCGAATGGATTTGGTTCATATCCTCGAATCCTGTTTATTTAAAATTCATTATAAACTTTTTGGCCCGTCACGGTAGCTGAGAAGTCTAAGGTATGTACTTTCGTTGCTCGCTAGGAAGCCGGGATTGTGGGTTCGAATCCTACGCAAGGCATGGATGTTTGGTATGTGTGTTTATTCTGTGCTTGTGTTGTCCTGTGTTTAGGTAGAGGCCTTGCTACGAGCTGATCACTCGTCCAAGGAGTCCTGCCGTCTGTAAAATGATCAAAATTAAAAAAAAAAAAAAAAGAACAAACTCGACACCGTAAGGTATAAGAGGAACGGATTAAGTAAGTATAAATTTATTCTGATATCTTTGTCTTAGTCCAGTGTGGTCTCTTCCCTCTACATTTTCGAACTAAGTTTGTGTTCGCTTCTCCTTCCTTTCATACATGCAGCACGTCCTTAGTTTGGTCGCCCCAGTGTTTGGCAAAGTATGGAAATTATTAATAAGCAGTTCTCGTCACCCTCCCGTTACTATCACTGTGAACATTCATAATAGTTTATACAAAAAATCTCCGTGGTTTTAGTCTGCAAACGAACTATACCGACCGAGCGACCACCGCTTCTCGGCGATGTTAGTGCCAGTTTTAGCGGATAGAGGGTGTCGCGTGGCCAGCGCAATGGATCCCCACGGCCATTAATCTCGGTTTTCTAGACCGGCGCCGCTATTTCCTTGAAATAGCTCCTCAGTTATCCCCACGAGGCTCAGTAGACCCCGTTCCAGATCCACTACTACTCAGAAAATCTGGCAGCGCCGGGAATCGAACCCGGAACCTCTGGATCTGTAGCCAGGAACTCTGACCAATAGACCACAGAGGGGGTCGTGAACATTCCTAGCAGTTCATATAAAACAGAATTAAATATTCATTATCTTGAGGAATGCCGTCTTCTGGGATATGGCGCCGTGTAGATCTTGTGTGAACCGACATTTCCGAGGAACATCGCCTCCGTCTGAAGATGTATCTACACGGCGTCACATCCCAGAAGACGGCATTCTTCATAGTCACCGCTGTGAAAACCTCAAATCTCACATTCATTATCTTATTCGTCTGATACAAGATCCAATGATCTTAGTTCGCGCTCTTGTCACCAGGTTGACACGTCACGCGTTACGTAATAAGAAACACACTTACCAGGCCATCTGATTCAGAAAGCGATGAAGGGGCAAATGATGCCCACATATCGATGTAAAGGTTCTACTCGAAAATTAAGAAGAAACTTGATTCGTGTTTCCCAGGCCCGACGCACAGACACGTAGTTGGTGTTCCGTGGGTATCCCCCCCAGACATCACGGTGGTGCGGTGAGAACCCACCTACACGAAGGGAATACAGCAGGGGTACCCAGCATTCTGAACTCACAAGCACTGCATTCCTTAGCTGCGAGTTAATTTGGTGATTCTAATGCATTTAGGGAAAATACTTTCAGAATTTAAAACGAATGACGTGATGCTTGGGACTGCAGAAGAATTAGTTTCAAGTTTGGGCCTGGACACCGGCTCAATTCTGCCCCCCTCTCTTTTTTTTTGTACTTTTGTTTCGTCCCTCCGACCGCCTCTGTGGTCTAATGATCAGAGTTCCTGGCTACAGATCCGGGTTCGATTCACCGCACTACCAGTTTTTCTGAGAAGCAAGGGGTCTGGAACGGGGTCCACTCAGCCTCAATTGAGGAGCTATTTCAAGGAAATAGCGGTTCCGGTCTAGAAAACCGAGATTAACGGCCATGGGAATCCGTTGCGCTGTCCACGTGACACCACCCTCTATCTCCGCTGCAGTTGGTACTAACTTCGCCGACAAGCGTCGGTCGCTCGGTCGGTATAGATCGCTTGCGGACTACAGCCACGGAGTTTGTTTTTGTTTTGGGGGTCTATTTAGATGCTTCAATCTATACGGACGTGCCAAAAACTGTATGCAGATGTGTGAATGTCTGTGTAGCAGTGTAGATACACATCTCGAAGTGCACGTGGATGTCAGGCTGTGGACTGATATCACAGACCCTCTCAAGGTGTCTCAAACTGTATTTAGATGTCACATTCAGCACGTAGATATGAATATGAGGGGTGAGCCATAAAAGTGGCCCTAGCACTGCGGCCTTCAGTGGTCTCTCAGCATGCACATATGAGTATGAGGGCTGAGCCATAAAAGTGGCCCTAGCACTGCGGCCTTCAGTGGTCTCTCAGCATGCAGATAACTCATGTTTGTAGCATTTTAGACAGATACTGGGAACATTGACAGGATGTTATATTGCCGTGCTTTGGTTTTATAGTCTTTTTCTTCCGTCTATAATGCAACAATATTCATTTAACAACATTAATTCACACTCACTAAATGTTCGTTAAATGTTTAAAATGTCATTACAATTCTGAAAATATATAGTATGTGCATTCGGTGTTTATGTTACATGTTAGAGCCACATAGGCAACACATCTTTTGATGGAGTCTACTGAACCGTGCACCAGGTCACATAGCGTTCATTAAGGCACGTCGCCGTTATCATCATCATCATCATCATTTCCTTGAATTGTGATGCTGTAGGATGATAGGAGTACTTTCTTCCCATCTTATATATTGCGTCTGTTCTCGTGCCCCATTGGTTGTGCTGCTCGCTTAGCTGTGTATCTAGTGTTGCTCTGTGTTCCTTGTGCAATTGTTGCATTATGGACGGGAAACAAGACTATAAATTTTACCTTAATGCAACCGGATGCTGAAATATAATATTGTGCTGGGAAGTCACGTGCTTCTCATTAGAATGTGTAGCATTAATCCTTTAGAGGAAAGTGGCACTTATATATACCACCTGCTTAAACATTAAAAGCTTCATTCTGACAGCTCATTGTACTCATGTATTTCCACTTAGCAGAATCTGGGTTCATCTCTTCGTGACTACAGCATATTCACCACTGTCAACAAATCAAGCAGACGTTATACAAGGGCCTAAATGTTACAATATAAAGTCAGTTCGATTGACTTTACAAACTTCGCTTCACAGCTGTTAAAGTCTCGATACCGCGGGCAATGGGACTGGTATGTTCACCATTCCCACACCCGTCTTCATGGCAAGC